GGTTTAGGGTTTAAAGTTTAGGGATAACGAAGCTTGACTTGGTGGGTTCCCGGAAAACCGCAGAGCGCTTGATGAAGGAACAGATCGTACAGCGTGTTAAGGATCCCTCCATGGTCTTTTCTAGGCTGGGTTCTGTCCTTAGCTTTGTGGTTTAGGGCTTAAGACGTCTAGTTTGAGGTACTTTCCTCAATTTTCTAACCCTAAACCCTGAACCCTNNCCTAAACCCCAAACCCTAAATCCTTTATTAAAGGGTTCCTGGGCTATTGAATTTGAGGGTGAAGGATCCTCGGGGATGAGGGCTTTTCGGCTCGAGTTCAGCCTAAAACGGATGGCCCTTTTTGCAACGTTCGAACTAAGTTGGCCCCTTTAGGGTTTAAGGTTTTAGGACGGATGGCCTTTTTTGCAACGTTCGAACTAAGTTGGCCCCTTTAGGGTTTAAGGTTTTAGGGTTTAGGGCTTTAGGGTTTAGTGGCAAATAAGACCCCTAGTCTTAAACCCAGTAAGGGAGAGGATAAAACAACAAAAGTAGAACTTCTATATCATAGGTTGCGCGCTCTAGCGTTTGCGAACTAGAGGCTGCATATATGGGTTGGGGTTCGGGTTCAAGAGAGCAGCCTCCACATATTAAGAGTTGCTTTAGCATGTCCTTGCAAAGGTACAGTACTTAAAGGATCATGGGACTTAGTAAGTAAGGTTAGTAGTCCCTTAAATGGGGTTATAAGTATAGTTACCTTAGTAATAACCCCACTTACTAAGTCCCATGATCGCTTAAGTAGGCCTCTTGGGCTACAGGTTGGGGTTTAGGGTCTAGGGTTTACGGTTTAGGGCTTAGGGTTTAGGGTTCCTAAACCCTAAACCCTAGCCCCACACCGCCTTATTCGTCTCCTACACATCTTGGGGGCCGTTCCTCAAAAGACATGGTTTACACTGACACAGGAACAAAAATCGGCCAAGTCGCAAGGAAGGGAAACCGCGAAATCCCAAAACCCCAAATCGTAAATGAAGCCTAGATCCGAACACTCGAAGCTGTAAAACCGCTGGACCCTATGAACCCCATATAAATCCCGCCCGAAACCTCCCCCCCAGCAATGGCCTCCTTGAACCGGGAATTTTCCACTGCGGGGGAGCTCTCCTCCTCTGGTTGACTCGCGTTGAAGCCATTTGGGGCTTGATCTCAAGCCTAAGGTCTTCGAGTCTATCTAGGATACATGAACAGCTGAGGTTTCAAGTTTAGGGTCTTCGAGCTTATTTAGGCTACATGAACAGCTTTAATCAACCCGAAACCCTAGATCATGGATGACAGCTTCCATCCGACCCAACATGCCGCAAACAAGAACTTAACAGAAAGCTAGAGCGCAATGCTCAACACTTTTGTCTGCACAGCCATAACTCAAGGCCTGCGGTGAAGCGCAACTGATGCACAGCATGTGCAATCTAAAATGACGTGTCAGCCCACCATTATGTTGTGCGCTGAACACTCTCATGCCTTGCTTTTCAAGCGGCATTGACTTTGCTTGCCAGCATCCAGGATTTCTTGTTCTTCCTGAATCTGGTATTGATTCGTGGCTAAAAGACTGAGCATGGGCTCCATGTGGGCCCCTTCGAATTTTGTGAGGCTGTCAGCCGGATTTCGGTTGTGGGGAACCCATCGAGCTCGGCCACGAACTGTCTGAAGGGATTCTCGTATCACCGCAAGCTCCAGCACGGAGCGGTCGTCGTCTCCTTGTGCTTGTTCACTGTGAATGCTGTCGTAGAGGGACTTCGCGTCGATGACAGCCACGGACTGGGGGTCCTTGTAGGCTCTGCATTCATCAGCGATCACCGTTGCTTGGCCACGAGCTTCTTGTTCATCGTAGTCGTCTTCGATCATGTCCTTCGGCACGAAGTCGGAGTTCACGAGGCTATTCCACATAGCTACTTGGCGTTCCAAACTGCCGAGGGCCGTGGAAAGAGCGATGCTTTCACAGAGCAACGTGTTTCCGGCCTTCCTCCGAAGTTTCCGTGAGCGCCATGCCACGATGCCCATTGGCGCTTTCTGACCAGCGTTCAAGCTCGGGGTCGTCGTTCCTTGCAACCATCCATGTTGTGGTTTCGTCTTTCCTGAAGGGTCGTGAGCACTATCAGAAATGACAAAGTGCCGAATCGACTCCTCCGGGATGGACGGAATGACCATGGTGATCTTGTAGCTCTTCAGCTGGTCCAGGACGTGGTTGAGGTCGTACAAATCCTTGATAGACGGAGTCGGAAATTTCGAAGCTAAGATGGAGGCCGCTGCAGCAACGTCCGGTCGTCCTTCTCTTGACACCCAGTTGAGACATGCCAAAGCCGCTCGGTATTGGGTGATTTCTCCTTCTTGCAGCGGTGTCGTCGGGGCATTTTTGACCAACACTCGTCGTTTTATCATCACTGGCTTCATGCGGTTCACGACGTAGTCATTCATGGTGTGGCCAATGCTGAAGTCGGCATACTGTAAAATTCTCCGACCACTGTACCCCGTTCCCTGCTCCACTTCTTGAAGACGAACCACCTTGCCAAAGCGAAAAGTCTTTTCGAGAATTGTCATTCTCCGTCGGTGTTCTTCATCTCCCGCTTCCAGCAAGTCATCCACTTGGATAACTATCACTCCTCTCGTCTTTTCCGAAGTCGAGCTCGAGGGCGTAGAAGAAGTCGTAGAAGACCTTGCGGAAGAGGAGGTTGCAAGAGCTTTGGTTGAAGAACGCGTCGAAGGTGTCTCTTGGCCTTTCGAGGTTCCGTTTTCATCTTCTTTTGTGCACGGAGTGGGACGAGCAGGAAGGGTGAGCACGCATCGGTCGTAGGGATTAAGTTTGTACCCCAACTTCAGCAAGACATCCAGTAACGATCTTCTCCACCAGGAAGGCCCCGACACGAGCCCGTATACTTCCGTATGAAGAAGTATCAACTGCTCCTCGGAGCAGTTGGGAAAAGGCATGTCCGATGGCATTGAACATGCTAGCTTTTGAGAGCGGGTGGTAGGCAACGCTTGCGTAAACGCAGCTTTTGCATCCTTGACCAGAGCGGCCCATCTCCTGGAGGCAATGAGTTGTAATGACAAGTTCACTGCAAGCGAAGTCGGAGTAGGAGCACTCCTCTCGATGCTGTGCAGCATTGGATCTTGCCATCCTACTACGCACCAGCGGGATTTTGGAGCAGCTCCGCAATCTTTGCCTTCCACGTACGAGGAAGGATCGAAGTCTTCCGCCAGGGCTGTGAAGGCTTCCGTAGGCTTCCATCGATCTACGAACCTCGATTCCAGAACGAACTCGGGGTGCTCCTTCCGGAACCGTCTGCTCTCCTCCACCGACATGATGGTGATGGCCCCGCTTTCCAGCAATGACCGAATCTCCTTTTCTCTGGCCTTTTGGAAGTGGCTTCGCTCTTGTCCTTGCAACTTCTTGAAAGTGATTTGTCCAGGAGACTTCTTGGTCATGAAGAACTTGCGGTCCTGGAAGCTGTACACTGCCATTCCATCTTGAAGCGCAAAGGTTCTTTTTGACTTCGCGGATGGCTTGGAGCTTCCCGAGACCTTGTCTTTCCACCACGTGGCTCCATCGTCCTCTTTAGTGAAGTCTCCCGTCTCGAAGAAGTGGGATGTTGTACGCGACGGTGAGGGCCATGGACCTGGTGCCTGCGAAAAAGGATACGGCATTGGTCGTGAACTGGTACTCGACGTCGGCAAAGGCCCGAAATGTACGTGTCCATCTGGAAGTTCATCTACTCGAACAGTGCGTCGTTGACTTTGCGCCCCAGAGGTGCTTTCAGCCCTTTGCTCATCCTGCATGATGACATCGGAACCCTCTGTGACCTGTGATCTGGCATCTACGCCATGGACCTCAGACTCTGCTCGCATCCTGGAATCATCTAAAACCACGGGTGGAGCCACTGTACTAGATCGTCGAGATTCCAACGTAGGTGGAGCTGCTGTACTAGATCGTCGAGATTCCAACGTAGGTGGAGCTGCTGTGCTCGGACGCCTGGAACCCTCTCGTGGTGGAGCCACTGTACTAGATCGTTGAGATTCCAAAGTAGGTGGAGCCGCTGTACTAGATCGTGGAGATTCCACAGAAGGTGGATCCGCTTCGCGGTCTGCTCTGTCTTCATCAAGGACGTCCATTGGAGAGTTCATGGGGACGTCCTCTACTGTCTCTGACCCTTCTGCGGCACTTTCCTCGGGTCGCGGAGGGCTTCCTTCTTGTTGGATATCTCGGAAGTGCTTTACCTCGCCATTCTCCAGCTTCTCCAGCATCTCTTTGGAGATCACCTTGATCAGTTCAGCGCCCAGATGTTCTTCGTTGGTGGCTCGTCTCACCTGCTCTTTGGAGGCCTTGATGAGATAGCCACGTAAACTCACCCACAATGACCTGCCATTTGACGTTTGGCTGACGACCATTCCTGGGCCGACCCACCCAGTGTAATCTGCCGTCTGCCTCCATACGTAGACCACGTCGCCATCCTTGAAGTCCTTCTCGTCGGCGGTCTTCGTGATCGTTCTTACGGCTCTTTGAACTGCAGTTTCGTCTTGCAGCTCGGCCCAAGCTTTCATGGCCTTATTCCTCATCTCTTGCGTTTTGCGCATCTCGTCCGAGTGGGTGTGGTTCACGAGGTCGCGGTCAATGGCATCGTCGGACATCAGAGCGTAGGGGGTGCGCATGCTCTTCCCGAAGACCCGTTGGAAAGGAGAAAATCCGGAGCGGTCGTAGTATTGGTTTCGGCACCATACCGCGGCATCCACGGCTCTCTCGAAGTCCTCGGAAGAGACAGCCGCCTGTTCGTCCAGGAGCTTGCCTAGGACCGCCTTGAGCGAAGCACCGGCCCTTTCTGTACGACTGTTCTGCCATGGAGATCTCACGTCTGTGAAATGAATCACAGTTCCCCACTCGCCGAGGGTGTCCGTAAAGTGTCGAGAGCTGAACTCTGTTCCTTGATCTACCACCAGTAGATGAGGAGGGCCAAAATATTTGAACCAGCCATGGTACACTGCCCTAGTGACCTCTTCGGTGTTCTTGGAGCCGACAATCATAGCCATCTGGAAGTTCGTGCCCCAGCATAAACAGTTCACGATCACCTTTCTGTGGTAAAACAACAGATCCACTCCGATCACTGAGTTGAACTCCATCTGTCGTGAAAGATGTCCGGGTCTTTGGGTTCCAGGTCTCTTCCTCTTTTCACAGATCGGGCAATAGAATTTGACCTTGGTCCATTTGATGAGGTCTGGTCGAACTCGGGCATTTCGTAGTGCACGGCAGAATGTTCCTAGGTCAGGGTGACCGAGATTTCTATGGATCCGATACAGTTCTCTTCGAAGTTCAGGAGGTGGGTCCGGGAGGTCGGCTTCCGGGTTTCGAGGTCCTGAGTCCTGCAATTGACCCACGTCCAGATCGCGAAGTTCGCGCTTTACTACCGCCTCGTCTCCTTCGTCCGGTAATTGTAGAGGAGGTTGTCGTGGATCAAGTGGTGGATCTGGCGGCACGTGATTCAGCAGGTCCTCGGTTTCTGACAAAGTCGGCGAAAATCGCTCATCTTCTTCTTCCGTCGTATCAGGAGGTTTCGAAGTCCGCCCCTCCAAAATCTTGTGCGACGGAAACACACATAGCCACTCACACTGAAAGTCGAACTCCGCCGTTTGATACTCGTAGAGGGCATGAGAGGCCGCCTTGGCGAGCCATTCAGCGTAGTCTGCGGCCGATTGAGGCAGCATAACGGTGGGGACCAGCTCAAAATGAGTGGAGCCGGTCCAAAAATGTTTGTCCGGACCAGAGGCTGCCGCGGTGGTCCAGTTGTCCACAGCGACTTTGGCGGGTCTGCCCACAAAGTCCTTGAACGTAGTTCGTCGACCAGTGAAGTTCACGTTGGTGAGGTCGAGATAAGGGCATGCGTCTGGGCACACCACGTGACGCCTCGGTTGAAAGTGGCGGCAGACTAAGTCTCCGCTCCGCCATTCCCAGCGGTCTGGTACACCAAAAACAGGAAAATGTTGACGCTGTAAATGTTGTTGGAGGCCTCGAAGAATGCCTTCAGCAAACGTAGGATGTGAGGCTTGCGCAGGCATAGGTTGGGATACCTGGAGATAGCGGTTTTGGAGCGCCTCCGGAACCTGAGTCACATTGGTGATCATAACATTGCACCCTTGTCCGCCGGGGGGGTCAGGTTGAAGTCGTACACGAGAAACTCGGGGGTCGTTGCAAAGAGGTCTGAGTTCCTCGTGCTCTTGTTGTTCGGGAACCTCAATCAGAAAACCCCGGCCCGCTTGCATTTGTATTCTTGCCAGCTGCGCCACAAAGTTCAAATGCCGCTTTTGTTGAGCGGCCGTGGCACTCGGAAAGGGGACTGCTCGGTCTCCTCGAGGGCCAAGAAAGCCAGCCCGACTCAGAGTCACCAGGGCCGGTCGGTGTTGTGTCATCAAACGCAACGCTTCTCCACGATGGCGCTCGATGACATAGTTCCAGCCCACTGACAAGTCGATGGCTTTGCCGAGTTGCCACCCTTCACGAAGAACTTGGTCCTGCATGAGGGCGGAGGCGCTTTGTTCGTTAGCATCGAAGATCTTCCCCTTTAGGCTCTCCTTCAGAGCTTTGCCATCTTGCTTGGACAAACTCACCTTTGGACCAAAATCATCTGCAAGCCAATCAACCTGGATATCCTCCTTGGCGTACACGTAGCAGTGAATCTCGTCGCTGTAGTCGAAGTCGGAGACGTCAAGACGATTGTCCTTCACAAAGCTCCAGTCTTGATTTTCCGACACCCACACTGCATGTTCGCGAGGATGCCCAAGGTGGTCCAACCAATTCGTTGGCTTTGCGGATGCTAGGGAGAAGAGCGCCAGCATCGCCGATAGCGCCCATCCTTTCCTCTGTAGTTTGGATCCCAAAATCTGGATGGGCTTGCATCGGGCGTTTGGCAGCTCCTCGCCCTCGGCCAGGTAACTGTTTAAGCGCCTCGAGCCAACGGAATCACTTCCATCTCTTCGTCGATGGTCTCGTCGTCGGTGTAGATCTCGTGAATCTCGGTCTCGAGGTCGCGGCGTCCAGTAGGTGTTTTGGCTCTCCGAGTGGGCAGAGTGCCCGTGATCTCCCTCTTCACCGCCTTCGTCAAGTCGTCCACTGTCCTGTTCGACGGGGCGGCCGTAGAAGAAGGAATGGCTCCAATGGTCTTGTTCGGGAGGACCTTGGGATTCGGGTGCATGGTTACCCGTACCTTGCCTCCCTCGATCACTGTCACTTCTCGAGGGCCTTGTTCCGGACGTCCGCGAGGTGCTGGGAGGTACTTCGGAAAGGCCCTGCCACGTCGATCCACTACATTCGGGGCTGTCTCGGAAGTGTACTCGGGCACCACCACGGGGTCCTTGGTGTCGTCCAGACGCGCCCACCGACTGCCGCAACGAAGACATGTCCACCACTTCGACATTCTGTTTGCTCGGCACCGCATGTGGTCTGGTCCATGAGGGCATCTGTCTGGATGACATTCCCACGTCTTGTGGCTTTTCGACCGAGGAAGAGGCTCGCCGATCCCTTGATGGATCGGCCCCGTCGCTCTTGTAGTGGTCCGAGAGGAGCTTGAGGCCGTCGTAGTCTTCTCGGGGTGGTCCTTCTCGGCCTTCATCATCATGTAGTCCGCCACCATCTGCCTCCGGGCCGTCACCAGCATGAAGAGGATCTGCTGGACCATTCTTTTCCATGCTTGTTCCAACTTCTTGGCCGGCGACTTTTTCATCGAAGAGTCTTCCGGAGCTTCCGAAGCCACCAGCCGCTGCACCTGCGAAGCCAGGCTTGCCATTGTCGCGGGTGTGCGTCGGAGTGGGGCGACGGTTCGAACTCAAAACCCAAATCGCAGCTCGCGTGAGCATTTGCTTGAGCATCCTCGGAACAGAAGACGCATCCTCAGACTGTTTGCTGTGATGATCAAAGCTGTCTTCCATGTCCCACTCACACGAAGAAGCAGGAGACGCTTCCACTTGCTCGCACACATGCTCGTCAGCAGCCAAGTAGCAAGAAGCAACCAACCCTGAGAATCCCAAACCTTGCAATTCCGAAACGAGGTTCATGTCCATGTCTTCAGCAGATCGAGCTGTGTACATGGTCACCGAAACTCTTCTTCCCGTCCAAGACATGGTACCATGAGTAACTTTGGGATTAAACACCGTAGGTTTGTGATAGACCTCCACCACCTGGCCAGGAACCTTCACTCCACGTCTCGTTTTCCACTTCACAGAGGCACAGGTCTTGGGGTCGACATCCGAGGGCAATTCTTGCCAAAGTCCCCCGCCTTGGAAGGATCCAAAAGTGGCGATCACATTCTGCGATCCTGGCAAGTTGTGGCAGTCCTTGTGAGGATGGGAGGCCATGTTGACGTTCACGCTGAAGGAAGTCCAGGAGGTAGGTGACAAACTACTTCTTCCACCTGGGAGCTTACTGCAGAACCATCCATTGACGTACTTCACAAAGTGCGGCATGTTCCTCGACACTTCGGTGATCCCTGACATGTTGCCATGAGCATACAGTCCAAAGGCCATCGCCCCCGCGTCTTTTCTTTTGGAGGTCAAGATGTCCCTGTTGCCTTTGCCGCGGAAAGAGATTCTCAACAGCAAGTCCTCCATAGATCGGCTCGTGAAATCTCCTTGCTGTAGCAGCACTCTTGCTCTGTCCTCTATCCCGTTCGGGTCCTTGAAGGCTGCCCATGACTCGCAAACTTCCTCCGAAACGAGGTGAACTGCACTAGCATCACGTTCTGAAACCACCGAGGACAAAGGAATCGTTGTAGCCGAGTTTTCTGAAGCCGCCGATGACATTCTCAGGGAATCTGGTTCTGCATGTTCTGAAACCACCGAGGACAAAGGAATCGTTGTAGCCGTGTTTTCTGAAGCCGCCGAGGACATTCTCGAGGAATCTGGTTTTGCATCCACATCCATTCCCCCCAAATTGTGCTCGAGAATGTTGGCATAGCACAACTGAAAGGGGTCTGGCTCATCACCTCGGCATTCTCCTGGCAGCTGCCACTGCCGATTGCCAAATTCGACAATGCTAACCGCGCAGTGGCCGGATGGCAACCGTGTCATCGGACATGAGTGGCCTTCAGGGGTTCGGAGCTCCTCGTTGGCCAAGTCGATGATGGAGCGTATCGCCTCCAGAAACGAGATCGGAAGTAGAGGAGGAGTCTGAAACTTGTCTCCATCTGCCAAGACTGTGAAGCGAAGAAGCCCATGAAGACCAGCCACTCCCACTGGGGCGTCCACAATTTTGCGAATGGTGGCCTGGCCACCAATGCCAGCACACGGCACTGCTTCTTCCGACGGCACTATCATGGTGCGAAGTCCGTGACGACGAAGCTCTTGCTCGAACCTAGCCATGGCCTGTTCTCCAATCACGGCGTCCTCGGCAGCAGTGTCCACCAACGCCTGAGTGCTCGGAACTCGGACTCCCGCGTAGATTGCCAAAAGCCGATCTGGTGGAACTCGCAATGTCGAGGAGGGGTTGGCCGACACGAAGTGGGAGCTGGGCAAGCCATTGCCTCGGCAGATCACAAAGGCAGACTTGGAAGGAGCTCCAGCGGCCTTTCCTTTTCCGGAACCCTTCAAAGGGCAATCTCTAGCGAAGTGTCCAAGTTCATGACAGTTGAAGCATTTGGTACGAGCCTGAAGATCATCGGCGTTGCCTCGAACAAAGCGGTTTCCTTTGCCTGGAGGCTTCGAGGGATACCTTGAGAAACTTCGAGACTTGCCTCCACGCGAGGCTCCTTTGCTCCTGCCTTTCCCGCGTCCACGGCTCGACGAGGTAGATCTCCGAACGTATCCGCGCTCCTTCTTTCGATTTTGCAGATCTCGACGAACGTCTGCGTAAGCGCTGTGGTACGCTTGGATGTAGAGCGCCTCGTCCTCCGTGTACTCCTTGTCCTCGAAGATGTACTCGCCCTCGCCGAACTCCAGCTCCTCGTCGTCAGTAAGTCCTTTTTCGGACTCTTCTTCCTCATCCTCATGGAAGCCATCCTCCTCATCCGCTTTCATCACCGGGTAGTGCTTGGCAGCCTGAGTGCCCAGCTCGGCTCCAGCAGCTTGTGCCAGAAGCTCTGGCCGATCCAAGGGCCTGAGAAGAGCCACCACTTGGTCAAATGTCCACATCTGACCCTGCTCCTTCAAAGCCATCATCTCCCTCTGGAACTCTGAGAGGTTGGCATGTCGAAGAAGTACTCGGCCAGCAATGCGGTCACAAAGTCGAGCTTGTAGGTGGCCTTCCATGTCTTGACGTGCGACCTCCTTCGCCGCGATGTAGCTCGCGAAACTTTCGCCCTTGCCTCGTTCTCCGTGGTACAGAAAACGGTCTATGGAGGTAGGGCCCGCAATCTCGAGGTAAGGACGATATTTGGCTAGGAGGGCACTCAAGACCATCCCATATCCGCTGGCGGACAACAGGTCTGTCATAGGCACCTGGTCCGCGATCTTCCTCGGTTGAGAGCCTTCAGGGAAGCTCTGGTAAAGTCGAAGGCCCCATCGCTCCTTCGGCACGGTCGTCTCCGTTTCCCAGTACGCCAGCAGCTTCAGCCAACTTCTCATTGTCCCCGGCTGTCCAGACCAGCCCGGGATGGCCTTCTTCTCGCCGGTAATCGCTTGGATGAATCTTTCTCCTTGATCCGCTTGGCGAGGCTTCAGGTTTGGAGCTTTTATCCCCAGCATCTCAAAAGCCGTCCCAACTGACTTGGAGGGAGTTGCGGTCGCATGTCCATCCAAAGAAAGAGCTGCTGCAGCCGCCGAAGACACCATTGGAGTGCTGTTGACTGCACCTGACTCCGGCCCACCCCCAGCAGCGGTTGGGGGAGTAGTCCCAAACATGGGTCTCGCAAGTGGCACTTGCGAAGCGTCGCCAATCCTTGAACTTGCAAATGAGGGGTTCCCGCACGCTGACGCCGCTGGATTCATACTCCCTGATGGTGACATAGCTGGTGGAAAACTCCCGAACGACGACAACGCGGGTCTGATACTCCCTAATGGCGGCGTAGCGGTAGGCATACTCCCGAAGGGTGACATAGCAGGTGGCACACTCCCGAACGAAGACAACGAAGGCGCGAAGTTCCCAAAACCCGGAGGAAAACCCTCTGGCACCCAGCCTGGTTGTCCAAACTGATGCTCTTGCCGCAGATAACCTTCCGGTCGAAGATCTCCGTAAACATGTGGAGGCCTGCTCGGTTCGTTCCCTTGAGGAAAACTAGCTGGACCTCGACGCAGACCATCCCCTTGCAGGGTAGCCCACGTGTTTCGAAAAGAACTCTCACTTGAAGAAACGGCTTCCCCAGGAGGCCCATTGCCAAACATCGGTGTAGTAGGAGATGAGGTCGATCGCCCTGCGTCGTTCAAAGCATCACTGTCTCGGCGTCTAGACAGGTATTCGGCCCATGGGTCGAACGACATGGTCCCTAAGAGCCCGTAGGCTCCGCTACCAACTAACAGAAAGCTAGAGCGCAATGCTCAACACTTTTGTCTGCACAGCCATAACTCAAGGCCTGCGGTGAAGCGCAACTGATGCACAGCATGTGCAATCTAAAATGACGTGTCAAACTTTTGGAACCCCAGAGCCCGACTAAGGAGGCAGTTTTCGCCATGAGTGCTCCGGGCCACTTGAGCCCGCCTCTCCCGCTCTTAGGGTTTAGGGTTTAGGGTGTTCAACCACTCAAACCCAACTCCAAGCCCGATGGGGCATGCACCGAAAGTTGCAGTGAGTGCCGCTTTGCTCATTTGTGGCACCTTCCGCCGCCAAGACCCTGCAAAGCAAGTGAAAAAAACCTGACAGAGCACGAAACAGTTTCTTGAAACACACAAAAATTAAAAAGCACACACACCACACCAGAGAGTCCTACAACCTGGATCCTATACCTGAACCCTACCGCTAAACCCAAAACCTTAAAGACCCCTGCAGCCCTAAACCCCATAAATCCAAACCTTAGACCAACCCTAACCGCAGATTCAAGCCCCAAACACTGGAACACCCTTCAAACATCAAGCCCCAAGCACCAAAACACCCTTTACCACACGCCAAAACCCGAAACGCGAATCCCCTGAACTTCAACCCTACCTTAACCTACCAAAACCCACTTTTTTGTAGGCTCTTATTCTAAACCCTAATATAGGATCTATACGGACCCTACAAAAAATTAGGTTTTAGTAGTTTAAGGCAAACCCTAAACCCTAAACCCTAAGCCCTAAACCCTAAACCCTAAACCCTAAACCCTAAACCCTAAACCCTAAGCCCTAAACCCTAAACGCTAAACCCTACAGCTCCCCTTCCCTAGCGCCTGCCAGCTGGGATTCAGCCGACCGATCCGAGCCCCGAGGTGCGTGACGAAGCGGTAGCGCGGTTCGTCAGCCACCTCATCCGGGTTTAGGGTTTAGGGTTTAGGGTTTAGGGTCTAGGGTTTAGGGTTTAGGGTTTAGGGTTCAGGGTTTAGGGTTTAGGGCTGACTCATAAGGATTGTAGACAAGGCTTCTGCGAGGTGTTATTACCATGGTTTTGTAAGGCTTTCAATCATAAACATATTGGGAGTAACTCTTACGGTTTTATCAAGTCTAGAAAAACCCTAGATTCTAAAACTCTAAACCCTAAACCCCAAACCTCAACCTCCCAAAACCCCAAACCCCGCGCAGCCCCCCGCCCCCAAATAACGAGTCGAGAGCCTGGACGCCGTTGTCCAAGGCATCAAGCTCTCGAATCCTAGGGCAAGAGCGAGCTTTTCCACGGGTTACGGCCCCGGGTCGGGGTTTAGGGAATATTTGGGGGTTTCCGAAAATAGGGGACCCTAATATAGTACCCTAAATAGTAGGATCCTTATTCTAAGGACCCCAAAACAAGGTACCCCTAATATTCGGAAACTCCCATTTGTTGGATAAGGACCACATCGCCGTATACATTGCAAAGATCAGTACTTCGAGCTTAAGTCCTGACCCCGGAAACCCCGAACCAACGAACCCCCAAAAAGAACCCCTGTCGGATAGGACTGGGCGCAACCCATGTCGTCGAACCGAAGCTTACAGACCCAACAACCTGGACCTGACCCTAAACCCCTAAACCCCTAAACCTAAACCTAAACCCTAAACCGTAAACCCAAGCTCCAAACCCTAAACCCTAAACTCTAAACCCCTAACCCCTAAACCCTAAACCCCGAAACCCTCAAACTCCCAGGCCTCCGAAGCCCTGATGGCCCGTGGACCGACAGGCCTTTGAAGCTCTGAGTCGAGCCGAAAAGCACCCTGGGTTTACAGTTTAGGGTTTGGGGGTTNNCCCCCCCCAAAAAAAAAAACACACACTCTAGAGTTAGAGGCCGGCTGTACAGTTGACTAAACTGCTTGAAGAAAGTTAAAACCCTTAGAAGGTCTTAGAATCTTATCTCAAGGTCCTCAACACCGGAAACGTCAATCTGAGTCAAGTCTCAGCGAGTCGTAGGTCTTGGCAATGATCGCGGCCTTCTAAGACCCGTGCCCGAAGCTCAAAGGTTTAGGGCTTAGGGTTT